AAAAAAAAAAAATTACAACAAATTGGCGCCGTTGCCGGGGAAGGTTTAGGACTTATTTTGTGAACATATTCATTTTGTTTTCAGTGTTTCTCTTGTTTTGTTTTTATTTGTTAGGTGTTAGTTCTTGTTTTATTTTGTTTTTATTTTGTTTTTATTATTGGTGCTCATAACCCTTGTTGGTCTTAGTGTATGCGTACCAGGAGTGGACGCAAATTGCTATCTCCGATCAACAAATCAGTCAACGAGAGCCTGAGGGAGCTGCTGGAAGAACTTACTCTCGAATCAAACGAAGTAGACGAGCACTCCCCGAAATCGTCAGAAGGCAGCAACTTCGACATGGGTGAACAACAGCAACAACCACCTCGTAACACCCTCCGAACCTTAGCCCAGCCGGTTATCGGGCTAGTCACTTCGTGCATCCATTTGCCAGATCCAGCACGGAATTATGAGTTGAAGATGATTCACTACAACCAGCTGCCGGCATTCCATGGGCTCCCGAGTGAAGACCCGCTTAACTTCATCCGGGAATTCTACAATGTCCTCAATACCTTTCCTCTCAACGGGCTGAACGAGGATCAATTGAAGATGAGGTGCTTCCCTGAGACATTGAAAGATCGGTCTTGGTTCATGACGTTTGCACCGGCTTCTCTAACTACCTGGACCGAAGTATACACAAAGTTCATTGGGAGGTATTACTCCCATCAGAAGACTCAGGAGCTCCGGTCACAGATCGTCTCGTTTGCCCAACTACCGAGTGAGCCTCTTCATGAGGCCTGGGAGCGATTCAAAGACCTCCAACGGCAGTGTCCCCACCACAATCTTTCACCGAGACTATTGATGAATTGCTTCTACGACTCCCTCAATCAGAATCTGCAATATATGGTTGATAATGCTGCGGGGGGACACATCGGTGCAAGGACGGCCGAAGAGATGTATGAGATTTTTGAGGCGATGAGTGCTAACTCGTCTCAAAAGAGCAATCGAGAGAAGAGGGCTGTGGTCAATGAGGTATCTTCTGCTCAAGACATGATGGCCCATCAAATAGCCGAACTCACAGAGCAAATGTGGCTAATGAATGCACGAGGAGGTCAGTCAGTGCAGACCATGACGGTAGACACATGCGGGGCATGTGGAGTTCAGGGGCATAGATCCGAGGTGTGCCCATCAGCCTTTAACCAGGAGGTAGGAGAACAATATGCAGACGTCAACGCCCTCCAAGGTTATCTGAACCGGCAGCCCAACGACCCCTACTCCAATACGTACAACCCCAGGTGGAGAAATCACCCACACTTCTCGTGGTCCAACAACAACAACACCCTCCAGCCACCTCGCCCAAACTTCACCCAACAGCAACCCCGTCCAAACTTCATGCAACAACAACCTCGTCCCAACTTCATCACTCGTCTGAACTACCAACAACAATAGCAACCTCAACAGCAAGCCCAAGGGTCTGGTTCAAGCTCGTCAAATCAAGATGAGAAGCTGGATAAGATCCTTCAGTTTATCACCAACCAAGACTCATCTATTAAGCGTCTCGAGATGCAAGTGGGTCAGCTTGCCACGAGAGTCGGGAACATGGATGCTGAGTCAGACAAAGGGAAGCTTCCGAGCCAGCCCGAGCAAGCAAAGGCGAAAACAGTGTTGAGGAGCGGGAAGGAAGTGGACAACAAAGTAAGAATGCCTGAGCCTGATGACCCCAAACCAACCGACCAGCCCAAAGAAACCGAAGAGAGCGGAAAGAGCACAAAAACCGACTCGGGAAAACTGATAGAGAGTCTTTTGCTTCACAAGTCTCTAAACCCTTACAAGCTACGCATCCCTTTCCCAAGCCGACTTCGAGATGAGAAACAAGAGCAGCAATTCCTGGATCTGTACAACATGCTCTCAAAAGTCAACGTCAACTTACCTCTCCTGGACGTGATCAAGAACATGCTATCTTATGTGAAGTTCTTCAAGGATTTGGTCACGAAGAAGAGGAAGGTGTGGTTTATGAGGCAGCGAGTGCAATGCAGCATGATCTTCCAAAGAAAGAACGGGACCCTGGGGGTTTCGTGATAAAAATTGCTCTCGGGAACGAAAAAGAGGCTTCGGGCATGCATGATCTCGAAGCGGGAATCAACCTCATGCCATTCTCTATCTTCCAGAGGCTCGGTCTCGGAGACTTAAGACCCACTCAGATTTTCTTGCAGTTGGCCGACCGTTTGATTAGATACCCCAAGGGGGTGGTGGAAGATGTCCTTGTTCGTGTAGGAAAACTTATCGTCCCGGTGGACTTCGTTGTTCTAGACGTAGAAGACGTTCAGGAGAATGGGAAGGATCACACCATCCTTCTTGGCAGACCGTTTATGGCAACCACCAACACCCTTATTGACGTGAGGAATGGAACCTTGAACATGACGGTCTTGGGGGAGTTCGTATCTATCTCCGTCCGGGAAGCCACATCTGCATCTTCAGTTAATCTTGTGGAAGAGTGTGCCTTTGTTGACATAGCAGACTCGTTCGTTAGAGAGATGACCGTACGGGACTTGGAGGAAAGGTCATTGCCCGATCTTAATGAGGAAGACGGGCCAACCATCGAGCTCTTTGTAACAGACGAGCCCGACAAACCGACCCCATCCACACCAGAGCTTAAGGAATTACCTCGCCACCTCAAGTATGTTTTCCTTGACGACGAGAAGCAAAAGCCGGTTATCATCTTTGCCGAGCTTAACTGGGACAAAGAGAAGGAGTTGATTAGTGTACTAAAGAAAAACCAGAAGGTCATTGGTTGGAGCCTAGGTGACATTAAGGGCATCAGCCCTTCCACGTGCATGCACTGGATCATTCTGGAGGAGGGTACTAAGCCTTTTCGGGACAGCCAACGGAGGCTCAACCCGAATATGATGGAAGTGGTAAAGAAGGAAGTGTTGAAGCTCTATTCCGAAGGGCTTATCTATCCAGTGGCCGACAGCGAGTGGGTGAGCCCCATTCATGTGGTGCCCAAGAAGGGAGGCATTAAAGTGATTGAGAACAAGAGAAAGGAGATGGTTCCCACCCGCATTACCACTGGGTGGAGGATGTGTATTGACTACCAGCGACTCATTGTCGTGACCAAGAAGGACCATTTCCCGTTGCCGTTTATCGATTAGATTCTCGACCGACTCTCCGGCCACCAGTTTTATTGCTTCCTAGACGGACTCTCGGGCTACTACCAAGTGGTCATAGCTCCAGAGGATCAGCCCAAGACAACCTTCACTTGCCCATTCGGCACATTTGCTTTCAGACGAATGCCTTTCGACCTATGCAATACACCCGGGACCCTCTAACGGTGCATGTTCTCCATCTTTTCTGATATGCTCGCGGACTGCTTACAGGTATTTATGGATGACTTTTCAATCATTGGTACCTCTTTTTCTGATTGCTTGCATAACTTATCTCGAGTTCTTAAAAGATGCATTGAGTCGAATTTGACTTTGAGTTGGGAGAAAAGTCACTTTATGGTGACTAGTGGTGTTGTGCTAGGTCATGTGGTGTCTAGTCGGGGGATTGAAGTTGACAAAGCTAAAGTGGATGTTATTGAAAAACTTTCCCTGCTTGTGAATGTAAAAGGTGTTCGAAGCTTTTTGGGTCATGCTGGCTTCTATAGGAGATTTATTAAAGACTTTTCAAAAATTGAAGAATAAGCTTGTGACTGCTCTTATAGTGATTGCACCTGATTGGTCTTTACCTTTTGAAATTATGTGTGATGCATCGAACCTTGCTGTGGGGGCCGTTTTGCGCCAACGATTTGATAAATTGCTTCGTGTAATTTATTATGCTAGTTTGACTCTCAATGGTGCCCAATTGAATTATACTACCACTGAGAAGGAACTTTTAGCTGTTGTGTTTTCTCTTGAAAATTTTTGGTCTTATTTCTTGGGATCCAAAGTAATTGTGCATTCAGACCATGCAGCCCTTAGGTATCTTTTGAGTAAAACTCAATCGAAACCTAGGCTTATTCGGTGATTTCTCTGTTTGCAAGAGTTTGATGTAGAGATTAGAGATAGAAAAGGGTGTGAAAATATTGTTGCTGATCATTTGTCTCGTATTGTTCCTTCTGAACCTTCACTTGCATTGCATGAGCATGTTTGTATAAATGATGACTTCCCATATGAGCATGCGAGTGAAATGACAAGTGTCCCTTGGTATGCAGATATTATTAATTATTTGTCAGATGGTGTCTTGTTAACTAACCTCTCTTCCCAAGAGAGGAAACGTTTTGTGTTGATGTGTAGGAGCTATTTTTGGGATGACCCAATCCTTTTCAAAATGGGAAAGGACGAGATTCTTCAGAGGTGTGTTCCCGAAGAAGAGCAACCAGATGTCCTAGCCTTTTGTCATGAGCTTCAATGTGGAGGACACTTTGGGGGTCGAAAGACGGCTTTCAAAGTCCTCCAATCAGGTTTATTTTGGCTAACTCTTTTTAAAGATTCTTATAACTTTTGCAAATCTTGTGACCGATGTCAAAGAATTGGGAATATTGGCCCAAGAAATGAGATGTCCCTTGTGAGCAATTTACAAGTTGAAATTTTTTATGTATGGGGAATTGATTTCATGGGACCATTTCCCAAATCCTTTGGCTTGAGTCCCTTCTTGCTGTAGATTACGTGTCCAAGTAGGTCGAAGCTATCCCCACACAGACATGTGACGCTAATGTGGTTATTAAGTTTTTGCAGAGTAATATTTTGAGCAGGTTTGGGTTCCCACGGGCCATTGTAAGTGACGGAGGCAAGCATTTTTGCAACCGGGTGTTTGAGAAATTGATGAAGAAGTACGGGATTTCTCATAAGGTGGCCACCCCTTATCACCCTCAGACCTTGGGGCAAGCTGAGACGAGCAACATACAAATCAAGACCATTCTTGAGAAGGCGGTGAACTCATCTCGAAAGGATTGGTCGAGCCGGCTCGATGATGCACTCTGGGCCCAAAGGACAGCGTACAAGGGAGTATTGGGGATGAGCCCGTTCAGGCTCGTCTACAGGAAATCATGCCATTTGCTGGTCGAGATCGAGCACAAGGCATTCTGGGCAATCAAAAAGATGAATTTCGATTTTGATGCTGCCGGGCGAGAGAGGATGCTGCAACTCTCAGAATTAGAAGAGTGGAAAAACGAAGCCTACGAGAATTCCAAAATTTACAAGGAGAAGACAAAAAAGCTTCATGATGCCACTCTTGTTCGAAAGAACCTCGAGCCCGGAATGAAGGTACTTCTCTTCAATTCTCGCCTTCGTCTTTTTCCCAGAAAGCTCAAGTCACATTGGAGTGGGTCGTATATTGTTGATGAAGTGTTGCCATTTGGAGCTGTCCGTTTGCGTAATCCGGCAAACGACGATTTATTCTTGGTTAACGGGCAGAGAGTGAAACCATATTTTGATGGCGAGTTCAGAAAGCGGCATGTCGAGACCGTCAGTCTGGGCGACCCAGTTTTCACGTGAAAAAGGGATTATGCCGAACTCCCGGCGTTAAACCGAGTATCCTTTGCACTGCTGTATTTTGGTTATTTCTTTATGTATCTATATATATATAAAAAAAATATTGCTGGCTGCGGCCGCGGCGACCATTTTTCGATCTCAGATATCATGCGAACAACGTTAAAATTCCGCGGCCTCGGGTATTTGTCGCGACCGCAGAGGAAGGTCACGGCCGCAGTGAGTAAATGCTCTAAAACCAGCAGACGGACATGGCCAAAAACTCGCAGCCGCAGAGACAAGTAGCGGCCGCGACGAAGAAATTAAGTCGCGACACTGAAATTGCTGCGGCCGCGGAGACCGCATTTGATAGGGCATAACGAGCAGACTTTTGGGACATTCTCCAACCTTAATATTTTTCTCTCCAAACGCCGATTCTCACCCTCTTCCACTCAGGCATCACCAAGAACCAAAATCACCCTCAAATTTCTCGCCAAATATCACTAAGCCGCCTCAATTGGTCGCCGTTATCCTCCCAAAGCCGGTGTACGCCCATTTTTTTTCCGACTGTGGAATTGAGGAATCACGAACCCTAGTTCTCTCCTTCCGAGCTGCTCGCTGTCATCGCCTCCATTCCGGCGAATCCTCCCGCCATCCACCAACACCAACAAGGGCAATCTCACCTCACTCACGCAACCATCCTCTACGGTTCATTCACAATTTCGGGTACTCAAGTTTCGGGTAATTAATCTTTTCTTGTTGAGTTGAGGGAGTTACAAGTTGTATCTATTGATCGTTGAAGTGGTGAATTTGCTGAACTAAGCCGTGGTTGGGTTCCATTGCCTTCATTATCAAGTGAACATCAAATTCAAACTTTCGCCTACAAAGTGTTCGACGAATTGCCCGAGAGACTTTGGCAATGGGCAAGACTCCGATTCGTCCTACTAAAAAGAAAGCCAACTCAAGCCGAGCCAGCTAAGAAGCGTAAAGCGGGCGAATCATCCTCACGACATGCCCCTTCGGACGATGATCTTTCGGACCAATACGGTGCTCTTTTCCCGATTTATTCCCTGAAGGAAGGAGAGACTTACTCCTGTCTATCGCAAAAAGAGGTTGTGCAGCTGAAGGCGGTGGATTGGAACCCCTTGAACGACTTGGGCATTCTCGAGGATGTGATGAAGTACCTCAAAGTTCTCAACCTTACCGAATATGCCAAAATCGAAGAACCATCGTATCGAGGTTAATGCTCGAGTTTTTTAGCTCGTTCGTGCTCGCTGATGGGAACGAGTACTTCACTTGTCGGTTTTGGGGGAAGGAGTACGAGGTGGATAACACGGTGATGAAGAGGGTTTGTGGGTTCAACATGTCCGGGATGAAAAGTCCATAGAGTTCGACGCCAAGAAGTGTTGGGCCGAGCTTTCCCCTTATACAACTTGGGATTCCGCCGGCATGCGCAACGGACTCATTGAGGACTTAGCCACCGCGATCGTGCACAAGTTCATTTGCTACAATATCCGAGAAGAAGGAGACAAATAAAGTGAGCGAAGTCGAGCTTTTCCTTCTTTGGGCGATGCGAGCATGAGTGTCAGTGTGCTCCATGACCTTTCTGCAGAACTCTTTGGAGGATATCGCACTCAGTCAGCGTGGAACACCGGCACTTGGACATTTTGTTACCGCGCTGTCCAAGCATTTTCGCGTTGACCAACAGGAACCCAAGCTTGACTGGTCTAAGGACAAGTCCGAGATGCGGTGTATAAATGAGCATGAGCTCAAGTCATCCGATCTCATAAAAACCGGACTACCTGTCAGGAGTACACAAAGCGCAAGGCTTACTCGACCTACTTCAAGAAGCTCCAGCAGAGCGCGTCATACCCGGACCATGCAGGGCCGTCTCGACATCCGACGGGAGGCGACGAGCATGAGCAGATGAATGTCGATGATGACCATTTTCTCCCACCTCCACCCGTGTGGACACTGGCCCCAAACCCGCAGCCGGAAGTTCCTCCACAGCAGCCACCGGGGTGGTGGACCACCTTTCAGACGCAGTATACGGCCAACATTCACTCCATCCACGACCGCTTTGACTCCCA